AAACTTCGTTAGAGGCAGAGAATGACTAAAACGCCCTTAAATAATGAACGACCATAATAGAACATCTTAATAAATAACAACAGTAACAGACTAATAAACCTTCACATAACGTTCTAGATGAGAGAACGAGTGAGATAGGAGTTAGTGAGAGGATAACATCACTTTAGTGAGTCCAGCTGTGCTAGGGAATAGCCAGGTTACCTTAGTTGCCCTAGTGGAGCATTGTCAGTGCGAGAGACACTTCAGGAGCTAACTAAGGGCAAGACCCAAACACTCGCGAGGAGTGGGTTAGTGATATCAGTATTGTGTGGCCTTTCGGCCTTAGATATGTTTGTATAGTTACATCAGTCAGTACATTAGATATGTTAAAGCTTGGCTTGAAGGCTATGTGAGACTGAGCCAATGCTTCAGACAGGCGGACATTGTACCGATTCTATGTGACACCTGGTTATCCTTTAATGATCTACTTGATGGCTATGTGATGACTAGGAGATCATTCAATATGTTTAGTGGTAATTGCACCGATGCTATGTGATACCAAGTTCCCTCAGTAACTAGTGTCTAATGGCTATGTGAGACCATATACTAGTCATGTTTACATTTAGATAATGCACAATATGTTCAGGCCTGCATTCAAATAATGCATAGGAATATCAGTTTCGTATTTAGATAATGCGTAACAGTTACAAGCATTAGAGTTAGAAACATTTTAGAGGCATACTCATGGTGAGGCCCTTAATAGAGGACTAAGGGAAGCGTGAGACTTCTACTTCAGTGATAAAAATAGTAAAGCCTTAAGTAGGTAGCACTTGATCTAGATCGTGCATGTATCTACTGCTTAGTACCATGTCTTCATCGTGCTTGTGTTTATGAATTCTTATGTTGGTATAGATTAGCGATTATAATGTTGGGCTTTGTAAGCTCAACCTCTGGATGTTTTTCATTGGCAGGCCAGTAGCTTGGGTCGTTCGTGGAGCACCATCATAGTAGGACTTCCAGAATAACCGACAGAGTATTATTATACTGTAGCTTTAGTGTGTGTGTGTATTCATAGAACGTTACTTACGTAATTGAGTTGAAACTTCAAAATGTATTGTTTTGTTTTAAATTATATTCCATGGAGCTCTAATTTTGTAAAATGTTTTTATATTAGTTATTTATGTTTTACCATGATACCATTCAGTATGTTTGAAAAGAAAATGAACAGGTTTTGAAAATCATGGGATTCCTCGGCAGCCCAGTGTGACACTTTAAACCCAATCGGGTTTAGGGTGTTACAATTTAAGGTATGAACTACCCAATGCTCCTTTACATGATATTTTAATATGTTATTATCTATAGATACTTTTGATAAGTAAATGTTATATGATTTTGTTATAAAAAGTCCATTGTATGTGCATTGAGTCTTAGGTATAACTGGCATGCCATGAGGTGGAGTTATCTACGAGGTACATTCATGTACATTCTATATGGCACCTATGGTGCAACTTATCTACAAGACACTTTCGAGTGTAATTTATCTACGAGGCACTTTCGAATACATATTGTGCACACTTGACGAGACTCACGTATCTTTCATTCTCATGTGATATATATTGGGCTATGGTTATGTAAAATTAAAAAGTGCATGTTGCTCAATTTAAATGAAAGTAAATCTTTCATTGACCACTTGGATTGGATTACATGTGATACATATGTGAACTGTGTTTTACAGGAAAATAAGAAACTTTATTAAGTTTATTTTATATGTTTTCACATTTTATATGATACTACCCTATTATCTTTTACATGAGATTTTATACTTACCGATATTCTATTTTATTATTAATGTCTCTCTACTTAGAGTGTGATTGTTTCATGTGTAAGTAAAGTAAAGCGAGCAAAGTAAGGAGCTAGGCCCGACATCATCCTTTGAGGATTAAATTAACTCTCCAATATCAATATGACATCTTCTATGATGTTTTTGATTTTCTAGAGGGCATGTATAGTTTATATATTAGAATTGTTATGATATGTTATGATAATTAAATGGGTTGTAGTAGTTAATATGTATGAATTTTAAATAATTAGAATTTAATTATATTAGCTATGAATATGGATTTCTAAGTTAATATTTGGTAAATTTTATTTTATATACTATCAGAATGAATTTTTAATTAGGCAGTTTTAGGTAGATTCATTATTTATATGAAACAATATTGAACTGTCATATTGTTGCCTGAAATTGAATTTGATTTGAATGTTAAAATATTTTATCTCGGTTTTACGCTATTAAATATTTTTAATGATTGATGTTAAATTTGATGATTTTAAAAGAAATAATATTTTACCAATTTTCGAATAAGAAATGTTTTAAATATTTTATGTGACATCTATGACTCGTATTCGAGTACAGGTACGAGAAAAATGTGTTACATTTATTGGTATCGGAACTGCATGCTTAGCCGATTTTAGGCTTAAAACCGAGTTTGTTTTTAAGTGAAAACTATGTACATGCCACTAGAATGTCAATACTATTGATCTATTAGATAGAGTATTTCTCTGTATACAAATTTTATTATTATTTAACAAGTTTAATTTTGTTTGTTTTATCTTCTCATATGTGATTATGATATCAAATTTTTATACTTTTAATAATCCAAGAAAAAATAAACTCGTTCATCTCTAAATTTTATAATGATATTTAAATATTATTATCATTATTTATTATTTTTGTTCTCAGATTAATGATTTTGTCTAACAGATTGGAGCAAGATGTACAAAACCTCTACTATAATAGAACACATAATTCAACTACATTCTACATTTCATTGTCTTCATCGTTCAAGTCGCATTCAACCTCTTGGTGATGGTTCCTTGTTATGACAAGCAGTGAGACCCGATAACCATTGCTACCGACGAGACAATACGCATGGCAATCGGAATATCCGATGAGAAGACCAAAAGATTGTCAATACCATCTCTATATCTCCTCTGTTGGATCAGGTACATCACGAGGATTTCAATGACCATTCCGACAACAATCGAGCAGATACAGAGGTTACCAATGGCTGCCAATGCCTGTGCCATTAAGGTCTTCAATAGCAGTGGTTTATTATTAAATAATCTAAACACGATTGATTTGCATCATCATATAGAGATACGACCACGATTATAATATTTGTTGGAAGTGACCAACATTTTTGGTGTCGTCAACAAGGTGAGCAGCTATACCAAAGAAGATATGAACACCGGTGGCAAGAACAACAACCTCCATCTCACCTTTTCGCTGGTAGATCCTGAGAAAATCTCGTCACCTGGATTCTTGGTAATATATAGGGACTCGCCGGTGAAGGCACAGATTGATTTATCTTGAGTGCATCGCCTTCAAAAAGATAGGCATCCGTCGATATGATATCTCTCAATATGACGCTAATACATCTCCTGGCACCAGAATTGCAGCTTCTTGTTCATCCCATTTGTCATTTCTCAATACCTACAAAGTGAACCAAGAAGTTTATGGAAGGTAGGAGATGAGCTCTAGACTAGTAATGGAGAAGCAAATAAATGTACCTTTGTTTTGGGAGACAGACCAACCATCAAAGCAGTCGCGGCTTTACCAAGGTTGTTTTCCTCGATGAAACTGACGGGTGAGAAGAAAAATATATTAAAAAAAGAATAAATTAGAACTTTGTCCCTAAACTACTCTGGGTTTATAAAAAAGCCCCTAATTAATATTTTTCTGAATTTCAAGGGTAAAGTAAAAATTAAACACTTTCACTAACGTGGCATATCACCAAACTAACAAAACTCAACATCTTAGTGGTTAAAACTTAATAACATGACATTGTTAGTGACCAAAAATTAAGTTTTTTGACTTTGACGAGAAAAAATGTACAAATATTAAACGAGAGTGACCAATCATGTAGTTTACCCTTTTTATTTTTTTTAATGATGACATGACATTATCTTATGGACATGTTAGCATCACCTATAATTTTTTAATGCTAAGTGACTTAAACAGAACCAACATATAATGTTAGATTTAATTTTAAAAAATTAATAGTTGAATCATCAAAACAAAACCAAATGGTAGTTGGGTGACTAAATACAAAGTTTGCCCAAGGAATTAATAACATAATCAGCCTAGGGGATGAATATCTATGGGCTACGTAAGTAGCACACCTAATTTTAAATTATTTTCCTTCTCACTTCCCGCCCCAAAGAACACATTCGTTGGATCAGTTGAGTTCAGCCCAAACCAAACTATGTTACAAGTAAATTATAGTATATGAATAATCAAAATCTGGTTGTTTCAGTTATTATGTTAAATTCAACCATATGACGTGATTCTTTGAAACTACAATTTTTTTTTTGAATATATATTATTTTGAAATATCTTGCTCGAAATCTGACGTGATTCTTTAAGAGCGTAAATGGCCCACACACCTAGAGCCAAGAGGGTCCCCTACCCTATGATCATCCCCTTGCGATGAAAGGCTTCCATCCCTAAATGAGATTCGGGGGCCTACACGGAATATGCACACAAGTTCTGTGTTTGTTGAATCCCAAAATCCCATGTCTGTTTACTCTACACGATCCACCGACAACACATTATTTAGCGACCTCAGATCTATAAAGGTGCGAGGATTTCAAAAAGATTGTCGTCTCTAACATGCATTACAATCTGCAAATGCAACGCCATTGTGTTCATAGGTAAAACTTCTTTCTAATCTGCAAATGCATGACGAGAAGCATGCAAACTTCAATTCTCAAGCTTTCCTCACAATGCTAAAGCTACAAAAGGAACACACAGCAGAGCTACAGATTCATGAAACTGAAACAGTTGAGCGTTTTGCAGTCTAAAGTTCAGCAAGCAACAGAATGCAGAACCAAATGACAAGGACTGAATTTCATTCAACAATTGTAATGAGAAGAACCATTATCTTCTATTAAACAGAAAAACATGTACTTGTCACCTTACTTTGTACAAGAAGATTATTCGGCTCCAGATAAAGAAATAAAATGAATGAAAGAAGATGATGATATTAAAATAAAAAATTGCATTTTAAAGCAACTGAACCTAACCAGAAACATAAGGCAAATTCAACTTTGTTGTGTGAAAATCCTAATTCACAAGACTCCAGTAATCACAAATTTCCATCCCTCAGCCCAAATCGAATCATTTCTTTCGACATCGTTGCAAGTTGAAACTCCCCTTACTACCACTGCAGAAAGTCAGAATACAGAAATGAGAGATCTTAAATAAAACCCTTTTCTTTCATTTGTTTGGTTGCTGAGAAATCATCAGAAACATGCCCAATTTTTTGAATTAAAAGACACAGATAATATAAAGAAAATTTACCTTGCCGTTTTCAACCACTCCGGCATCTTGTAAGAATCCACTGTTACCTCCGTCAGCCACAATCCAGGAAACAAGTACTGTAACCAAAACCAAACAATCAACAAAAATATAAATAAATAACGGAAAACATCAAGCGCAATCGGAAAAGTAAAAGTTTGCAAAGAAGAAGAAGAAGAAAGAGAAGAAACTTACATCCAATTGCTTCTGAACATTACGCGTTCGTTTCTTTGGCCTTCTTGGAGGGCGGTGACCAACCATGGTCATGAAATCCTCCTCAATCTCTTTCTTTGATAGCGCCACCGAAAATTTCGGTCGGGGCCTTTTCTTATCGGAGGCGGCCGACGACGGTCCATTGTCTCTTACTCTTGGTGACTGAAACACATCATTCTTCATCGGAGAACTATAATTGTTGTTAGTTACTTCTCCGTCAATCGGAGCTTTGCACGCGGCACGCCTTGTCCTAAGATTCCACGGCCTCTGCTCCACCTCTAACGCAGGCGATTCTTCCCTCTCTTTCTCTTTAAGTTTCTGCTATTTTTAGTCTCTTTGAATTCTTCCTCATCATCGTCCGCGTCGTCGTCGCCGGACACTTCGTCTCTAAAAATTGAAACTTTGACCTCATCCGGCGCCGTTTTAAGATCATTCATGATCTTCTCCCTAGCTGCCTCGATCCCCGCCGCCGAAGCCTCTCTTCGGTATCCTCAACTGCAGCTCCCTTGCACAATCGGTGTTCTTGCTGCTGGGAGACGACGACTCCGATTCGCGCCGCCGCATTCCACCAACCACCAAAATCTCAATCTTCGAGGGGGGAGATCGGCGCCTTTGGACGACACCACGACGACGACAATGCTGGTATTGATCAGCGACGCCAGAGGCCGCGGTGGCGTTCGAAGCATCGTCGAGTTTCTTACACGTGAGATATCTCCGATTCCCCACTTCAAACAGGGAAGGTCGAAATTGTGGAGAGGTTTGGATCTCGGGGGTCCCATCGCCATCTCTCTATCACCAGAACACACCATTGATCGCATCACAGAGCGAGCTCAATCTTTTAACACCAAGAAAAATAAAAATAAAAAACAAAAGCTTTTCTTTTCTCTGAATTTCAAATGAAAATTTTCGATTTCCCTTTTCTTTTCTAACTGCTTTAAAGAAATTGTGTTTATTTTTGCCGCCGGTAGGTATCTACTCTGCTATGCCAATCGCAGGTAAAGCGTAGAGAGAGTTTTCGTCATAATAATATGGGAGTGAGGGAAAAGGATGGATGGGGCGGTTTTAACGTTCGGGTTATGAGATTCTCAAGGGTTTATTGTAATTTCATTCAGTGAGGGTGGGTATTCTGCTAAAATGCACCTAGGTTACGGGAATTGGGTTAAAGCGTCCTTTCACAGTTGGCGAATTTATTACACGTTTGTTTTTACTTTTTACATCAATTGTTTCGTATACCGGCGTTTTTCTCGAAAAATCATTGGTGATTAGTATATTTGTCGATTTAACATCAGTCAGATTATATTTTTCGATCTAACACCCTTAGCAGTAAAGTACGCCCCTTGCACCGCGCTATATGTTGATTTGGCGTCACGTGGGGTAAGGCGCACCCCCTGAAGCGCGCCTTATGCTGATATAGATACACGTAGATAAAGCGCGGGGTAGGTGTGTAATTACACCTAAGGCACGGGGCAGGGCAAGGGCTGCGCCTTTCCTATGAATCTGACACGCATCAGGAAGAAGCGCCTTAGGTGTAATTACAAAATTACCCCGACTTCAATACCCCCAAACCTCCCTATAAATATCTCCATCTTCAATCACTTTCATCACATCAAATTCTCTCAACTTCTCTCAAATACTCTTAGAATCTCTTCTAAGGTATATTTTATTATATTTTTAATATTTTGTATTTAATTTATTTTAAGTATTTAATTTATTTAATATTTTACTTATTTAATTTTTTTCATATATAAAATGGCAAACGATCTACTTCGCTTGGATGCAAATCATATATCTCGACACTTTATTGATACGATAACATTTTAACGTTTTAATTTAATTTAAATTATTAGTAATAATTTGTTGATTTATTTAATGCATGATTATTATATTAAGAATAAATTTTGTAATTATTTAATTTTAGGAGAATGACCGTGTATTAGATCCTTTTATTAGGAATCTTAAGTTAGTGATACCTAGCTGTGTCTTGTCGTATTTAGTAGATGCTGGATTCGGTTACATAGGTAGATATCAGGGTCACTGTAAGATAGAGCCAGACTTGATTTCTGCCTTAGTAGAGTGGTGGAGGCCGGAGACCCACACATTCCATCTTCCGTGCGGAGAGTGCACGATTACACTTGAGGGTGTTTCTATGCACCTAGGGCTTCCGGTGGATGGAGATGTGATATCGGGGATCGCGCATGGTTCATGGACTGCTTTGTGTCGGGATAATCTAGGACGTGTCTCGGAAAATTTTAACGGTGGTCGGATACCGTTAAATTGGTTATATGCCAATTTTCGTGATTTAAGCGAGGACGCGTCTGAGGATGAAGTTAAAATGTATGCACGGGCATGCATACTGCAGCTGATAGAAGGGTTGTTGATGCCGGACAAATCGCGCAACCAAGTTCACTGCATGTGGTTGCGACACCTTGGAGACTTTCATCTGGCTGGATCACTCAGTTGGGGCTCGGCAATTTTGGCTTTCCTGTACAGAGAGATGTGAGCCTGACAACAGGCGTAATGCTATCTGCGGATGTCTCCTGCTGCTGCAGTCTTGGGCATGGTATCGATTGCCCTTTTTATGTCCCGTTGTCAAGAACCATTCGTATTTCCACTATATCGAGGTAATTGTAAAACTGATTTCATATTTAATCATTTTATACAACGTATAATAATTTTGTTTCCTCGAATAGGTGGTCTACTGATAGGAAAAATCATCAGGAGCTACCTGATGATTTAGAAAAAAATTAGGGTTCTCATCGATCAACAGGCAGGCACACAGGTATGAATTTAATGTTTAAAAATTTTAGATTTAGTTATATAATTAGATTATTATTTGATAAAAATTATATATATATTGTTTTAGTTTGAATGGGGCCATATTCTACTGATGACGTGGGGGTGGTGATCCCACTGAGTTGAGGGGCTCATCAGATGTTTGGATGGCGATGGTCCCCTTGATTTGTTATGCAACCGTCGAGTGGCACTCTACTGATCGTGTGCTCCGGCAATTTGGTTGTTTTCAACCATTCGGAAGTACCTCGCAATATGGACGAGTTGCATAGCACAGATAGAGCGGCAAGACAGATACAGATTGGCTGGTGAGGCATCATGCGGGGTCGTGTTGTGGGAGGATTGACATCTGCGCCTTCCCCGTAGAGAGCCCATTTTTGATGACCTCTTGATGGTTGCTGAGGGTTAACGGGAAACTGTTTCTGCTTCCCGAGGATGCACGAGGGCAGACCTTTCCGCGACGTCGACAAAGATGTTCACCGACAAAGCACCATCGTCCCCCGACTCGTGGACGGAGAGCAGGTGCTTCCGGTTCATCCTCAGCTGTACTAGCAGGACCTTCACAGCAGCCACCGCAGCCATATATGATGCCGCCACTGCCTTTTCATTACCAGATGTCGCCGTCGCCATTCCCTTACCTGATGCCGCCGCCGCCGCCGCCACCGTCACAGATGACCCCTCCTGGAGGCTATTATGGGTCTATGTTGTAGATCCGACTTAGGATTCATATACTAGATATTTGACGGGGTTCATCCTCATCACCATGGCCGCAGCACAGACATCTCCTGTACAGTTTCATACTCAGCGATGTCTGGGTTTTATGAGTTTTCCCAGTTTTCGCAGGCCGGTGGGATACTCAGTCATACACCTCCAGGGTCCTTATTCTATAGAGGTGCTTCATCGTAATCAGCTCCTCATGTACCTACTCAGGATGACGACGACGACGACAACGATAATGGTGATAATGATGACAGCGAGGAGTCACAACCAGTGATACAAAGAAATCCTCCTTGAGACCGACAACCACCCTGCGGAACACATCGCGTCGCAGGCATCAATAGATTTTATTTTTTATTATATTTTTATTTAGTTTATTGGACTTTTTAATTGTAATTTTTATTATTCTCATTTAATACTACTTTATTTTGTTAAATTTGTTGGACTTTTTTTTAATGTATTTCAGTTGATTTTGTTTATTATCATTTAATATCAGTTATTGTAATTTGGTTATCATTTACCATTTAATACTTATTGTAAGTTTGTTGTATTTAAAATTATTTTGAAATACAAAATTGTTATCAGTTTGATAAAATTTAATGATTGTGTTCGATGACTTTCTTAAGTTTGTCACTTATTATCTCTTTTATTATAATCACATATAACGCAAACGTTCAATATCGTATTATTGTATCGTTTTTTAATCTTCATCAGCAATTATCGAATGACATTAACTTGAAGTAAATGTAAATTGAAGTACAAGAATTATTATTTGATAAACAAATACATCATTTCCTCATTAATTGTTACTTGATGGCAATAGAAGTGGACATGTTTTTCTAATGTGTCATAGGTTTCTACAATGCCCACATCTTCTGTCTTGTCTAGATCTTTCTCGAATATCCATAACGCAATGAATTGGTTGAATTTTGGATGACCACGCTCCCTCAATAAACTCGGATTTGGTACAATCGGAAGCCAATCTTGAACCTCATCAGGGTCTTTGTCATTACCTATGGGGTAAACTCAAATTCGTATACCTTAAAAACTTCAGATAGTAGGTATATGAGATCCACAAAATGTTTATAGTCTTGACGTGTATGCGAGCAAGCTGCTATCACATGAGAGCATGGATACTTCAGAGCTTGAAAAAACCCGCAGTCGCACGTTCTGTCCCTTAGATTTACTCTTAACGACACAGCTTCAATCCCTTGAAGAGGTCGCGGCAACTTTGTGACATGAAAATTTCATGCCTTCTAGAGAAGCTTGTTACAGACATTCCATTTGATGCATAAACTTTTTTTCTGTAGATCTGCAACTAATCTAGGGTGATAGACATGACCGCCTTGCATCCAGGTTTGAGCTTGTCCCCCGAGCTTCGCAAAAAGCGCCCCCAAACGAAAAATATGTAGTCTTTACCAAAGCTGCTACTGGTAAGTGACGTACACCCTTTAAGGTCAAATTGATTGCCTCTGCCAAGTTGGTCGTCATGTGTCTATATCGATATCCACCATCATATGCGTTCATCCACATTTCTTTATCGATGAGGTTGATGTAATTGTATCCTTCCTCGTTCTTCGCCCGCAAATCTTGAAGCATTGATTAAAACGTTCGAGGAAGTAGTTCGTAACCTGATAAAAAAATATATAACTTACTAAATTGCTTTCTTTGCAAAATTAAAACGATCGAAAAGAAAACACACTACATCAGTTTCACTTACCCAAACGCACAATTAATTGACGCTCATCATTCTTCTTGTACCTTCCATGGTAGTTCGCAGCAATGTGTCGAAGACAATACTTATGTTGGACAAAGGGTGGTTGCCACATTTGACCCAAAGACTCCATTGCTTCTTTGATCCCAGCTCCGCGATCTGAAATGACACAGATGTTTTCCCTCGTGATAACATGTGCACGTAAATTTTGATGGAAAAAAGCCCA